ACAAGCTCTCAACATTCGTACATTAAGGAGTGTGGGAGGCCAAAGCTCCCATGAAGGAAACCTTCATGTTCATGGGTTGAAGACATGTCCCACTCACATTCTCCTAAGTAAAAGTTATTCCCCCTGATGTCCCCCCATAATAATGCCAATTTTAAGGTACCGTTTGCAAAGACATGGTCACTGACTACACACTTGGAGGTCAACTGCTTGAAGGTTCTCTGCCTGAAGGTTGTCGGCCATCTAAGGCAATCAGACCCTATTGTCTGTCCCACCCTAAGTGAGACCCACTCCTGTGGTAAACCAAGGGACTGGATGAGAATGCAATACAGCTAAATCATCCATGCTCATAAGTGTGGGTCTGGAAAGCTGACTCTGGTGAGGGAAGACACTCACAATTATGAGATATAGATATGTCTTAATATACATTCTCATGACGGAACACTGTCCCTCCAATAACCCCTCAGAAAAGAACTGTCATAGAGGAGCTATGACAGCTTTCTGGGTCTGGCCACTTCACCATGCCTAAAGGTTTTCTGTAGAGAAAAGCAATCAGGTTCTATAGCCAACCCACTGTAAAATGTAGCAAACTCGGTTTTGACATGTCTTGATGGTACTGGTCAGAAATAGCTACCCCTGGGGAGGGCTCAGGGGAATTTGAGGTCAACTAGCACTAGGTCAAGATGACTCCTGTAATTGCCTGTTTATTATTACCTGCTTACAATATTACCCGTTGATTATGTATGTTATCTGTGTGATGTGCCTGCCTTATGAAAGCCCCATTATATACCCATTGGAAAATACATTCTCTCTCTCAGTCATGAAATGGGCCCCAATGCCCTGCTCTCTGTCTGTTGTTAATATTTTCCACAATTGCAAAGTCACTCCTGAGGACCCGTTCAAATGTTGGGGACACCCCTTACCCTGACAAAGTCCCTTCTGATGAGGATAATGGATGGTTCACCTGAAGGAGAGCTCAAAGACACCTAAGGTCAAGTCAACTCAGACGACCGCAATTAGGGTGCCATCTTGACTCTGAAGTGCGCCCATCTTGTTAAGTATGTGCCTTCCTGTCACATGTATGCCTCTAGTACAACCCCTTCCTATTGTGTGTACACCTATTGTACAACCCCTTCCTGCTATGTATGTGCCTACCATGGCCTGCATGCCCAAGATTATGTAAGCTCATGAGATTACATTACTCTCTCTCTCTGCTCAGACCTGGTACCTGAAGTCGACTGAGAGGTGAGCCCTTGCATGCTTTATCTTGTCTGATGTCTCTATAATTTACCCCTCTGTTACACAACTGCCCCTAAGACCCATTCAGTTGTGCGGAGGCTGGTCCCCCACATTCTTCATGGAGTGGCTAGTGGTTTGTAACTGTTGACCTTGCAGTTAGTAGCCTAACGTGTAACCACTACGCTACCACGGCTTCAAAAATTCATGGAAAATTAAAGCATCGTTGAAATTTTTTCAACAAACAGTATAATGTCCCATCCTATACATTGACAACAATTATTTAACTTTAAAAGTCAAATGATTAATTTTTTTAAAACTCTGCAGGTGGTAGGCAAGAATTAAATAGGTGTAGAAACACCTCCATACATTTAGTGCATACATGCGTCTACTGCAGGTCAGCCCCCTGTTGCAATATAGCTTGCTGCAGACACTTTCTGGATAGGAATGGGGAGTGGGTGTGAAAGTCAGATGGGACAAACGAAGGGCAGCCTAGCTAGTTAGCACACAAGGGTCCTAGTACTTACCTCTTTTCTTTTTTTTTTTTCTCTACCAGTTTTTGATTCGGTTATTTGTGGGTTTTTTTTTCTTTTTTAACATTTTATTAGGGGCTCATACAACTGTTATCCCAATCCATACACACATCAATTGCGTAAAGCGCATTTGTACATCGTTTCTCAAAACATTTTTCTCCATTTAAACCCCCGGCATTAGGTCCTCATTTTTCCCCTCCCTCCCCGCTCCCCCCTCCC